CATCAGTAAGCAGAGAGCTGTTGCATGGGGCTTGAGAAGACTGCTCAACTGGATCAAAGAGGAGTATGGAGATCCAGAGATTTACATTACAGAGAATGGAGTAGCTACAGACATTATGACTACAGTTGATGACATTGACAGAGTATATTACTACAAAACCTATGTTGATGAGGCTTTAAAGGGTAAGTGTGCACATCCGTTACTCAAGTAAAAAACAATTCCGTTTGTAATGCCCCTTAATTTATCCTGCTAAAGCTAAAATACGTCATGTTAAGGTGGTTATTTTAAATGATCGTATGACAGATACAAACAAACAGATATAAATGAACTTGAGACAAAAAATATTAAATTAAATATTAGCCGCCTATCCACAAATGACAGTTTTTAATTTCTAATTATGTTACCATTGTTCTTATATATTTTCACAGCTCATAATCTTGATGGTGTGAAGGTAAAAGGATACATAGCAGCATCTCTCATGGATTCCTTTGAGTGGCTCAACGGGTACAAAGTGGGATTTGGGCTGCACCATGTGGACTTCACTAACCCAAACAAACCCAGGACACCCAAACGCTCTGCTCACTATTATTATCAAGTCATAAAGGACAATGGCTTTCCATTACCAGATGAGGAGAAGATACTTTATGGAGAGTTTCCAAAAACATTTAACTGGAGTACTGCCAGTGCCTCTTACCAAGTAAGTAACATTACACATTCATTATTCTACAATGGCAGTGCACTTGTGTGGCATGAAGCACAAAGGTAGTTTTAACTATATGACTTTATTTCAGATTGAAGGAAGCTGGAGGGCCGATGGAAAAGGACTAAGTATATGGGATGAGTTTGCCCATACTCCGTTGAAAGTGTCCAACAGTGACAATGGTGACATTGCTTGTGATAGTTACAACAAGATTGACAAGGATGTGGAGGTGTTAAAGAAGTTGAAGGTGACCCACTATCGCTTCTCTGTATCCTGGCCCAGAGTGCTCCCTGATGGCACCACCAACCACGTCAATGAAGCTGGAGTGAACTATTACCATAGATTACTGGATGCCTTGGAAGCTGCTAATATTCAGCCCCAGGTAGGCAGTGCTGTGGTTTATAACCATCAATATATTCCATGATGTAGTGCTGTATTTAAAAACTTTGGACCTCAATGGCTTCTACTGGAAGATTAATTTGTTTTACATTTCGTCCATTTTCCTCACCTCTGTTTCCCAGTTGACCCTGTACCACTGGGACCTTCCCCTAGCTCTACAGAAGGTGGGGGGCTGGGAAAATGAAACCATTGTCCAGAGGTTCAGAGGTTATGCCGATATTTTATTCAGCCGATTTGGACAAAGGGTGAAGTTCTGGATCACTCTAAATGAACCCTACATTGTAGCCAACCTTGGCTACGGATATGGTTAATTTGCTCCAGGTAATCAAACAACTTTCTGTTAACAATGATTAACTTTGTAAGGGTTGCTCTTACACACCATAACCCTAACTCAAACCCTTTATCTCAAATTGACCCTGCAAGATGACGTATGACAGCCATCTCATTAACCCCTCAAATGTTACAGGTATTTTCAATAGGCAGTATGTTGCTGCTCACAACCTTATCAAGGCCCACGCTGAGGCATGGCATCTGTACAATGACAAGTACCGTGCAACACAGGGAGGCATCATCTCGATTACCATCAATTCTGATTGGGCAGAGCCAAGAAACCCATATAAGCAGGAGGATGTAGATGCAACCAACCGCTACCTCCAGGTTGGCATGACATTTTGATATTATACATTATTCAGTTGTTTTCTCTCACCTTATTCAACTCAATCATCATACAATGTATCATTTCTGATATATGATCTTTACAGTTTTTCATCGGCTGGTTTGCCCATCCAATCTTCAGAGGTGACTATCCTGAGTTAATGAAAACAATTATTCGTGAAAGAAGCCTTGCTGCAGGTCTCCCTGAATCACGGTAATTTATACAAATGGTGATGAAGGCTTAACAAATAAATGCATTCTGTCATATTCTACTTATTTGGTTCAGTATCCTAAAATAATTAGCTTGAAGAAGCAACCAATGTGTTTTAAGGTTTGAGAAGACATTATGGATTGGGTATTAAAAAATGATCATCTTTCTAATAAAGGCTTCCTGAGTTTACACCTGAGGAAATCAAGAGGATCAATGGGACCCATGATTACTTTGGCCTCAACCACTACTGCTCGGTTCTTTCATACCCAGTTAATTTAGGAAAACAGCAGGATTATGAAGGTGACAGGTATGTTGGAATATAAACATTTGACACCTAGATATAGTTGTTTGTTGTGCACCTTCTAGTAAAGTGGAATATTGATAATACAAGAAAAATGCCAAACTTTGTTCAGCTTAAAATGGCCGCCCTGATGCAAAGCGAATGTCCTTTCCAATATCCAGGGGCACTGGAGCCTCACATGACCGCACCTGGATTGAGTCTGGCTCCTTCTGGCTAAAAATCACTCCATTTGGATTTAGGAAACTCCTCAAATTTATTAAGGATGAGTATGGAAACCCACCTATCTATGTCACAGAGAATGGGGTCTCAGAGCGAGAAGTGAACTTGAATGACGTCCACAGGAAGTACTTCTATGAACAATATATCAATCAAGCCCTCAAAGGTAACAGAGACAAACAAAAAAAGTATTGAGTGGATTTATGAGAATATAATATAATACATGTTAACAGTGTTTATTGTTGATCTTTCAGCCCAGGTTCTTGACGGAGTTGATCTAAGAGGATATACAGCCTGGTCGTTAATGGACAACTTTGAATGGGCCGCTGGCTACGTGGAGCGATTTGGGCTTTTCTTTGTGAACCGCTCCGACCCCACCCTTCCTCGCATCCCTAAAAACTCAGCTTCTCGCTATGCCTCCATCATCACCTGCAATGGCTTCCCAGATCCAGCCCTCGGGCCTCATGAGTGTTTGAACCCTGACCCCGAAGGTAACATATTGCTCAGTCCGCATATTCAAATAACAATTCCATCACTGTAGGATTGAAGAGGGATACTTATGGTCAAAATGTAAGGTCCTTGTGTTTGAGTCATTCAAACCCTTGTCCCTGTCTTTTAACATTGACAGCTACCACCGCTGTGACCATGCCCCATACAACTGCCGCTATTCTGCCCATGTCCATGGTGGACTTCTTGGGTCTGGAGCTTTCAACTCACGATGCAGAAGTTGCACTCTATGTGATTTTTGCATTTCTTCTTGTAAGTGTGCTTGGTGCATTCTTTGTTTTACATCGACTATGGAAAACAAAAAGGAAGTTAAAGAAAGCGCCAGTGGAATCTCTTGAAATGGAGAGAATGTGAGGATACTTTTGGAAGTAAGTGAAATACAGCGTATTTTGTGATGGTTTTTATTTGAATTTTACAGGAATATAGAACATCTGTGTTGTTCACGGTCAATTTACCTCTGTTTGAACCACAGCTTTACGATAACTTACTTAAGGAAATGTAACTATTGCCACTGGTGCAGAAAGAAAATTAAAATTTTAAACTTGTTATCAAGGACCATGAAGTACATGGCAACATATTACACAGGTTTTTTATATCGATGTGAATTAATTTAGATTTTAGGTTGGGAATAAAACATTTTAAAGGCTATGAACTCTAATATAATAAATAATAACTATTATTTCTACACCCTTTTTTTGTTGCTATACTGAAACATTCAGTGAACATTAGATAGTATAATCTTGTTTGTCTATTTAATGTTATGATCATTGCTGCTTTAATGTTTCCAGTATTTATTAATACAAATAAAGCATGCAGTATATTGGTGAGTTCTACAGATGCTTGTGTCACTGTCAATGAATGACCTCTTGGTGGCGCCATTAACTCATTTTTAATGCAGATACTTGATAATATACTGCTGTTCCTACAAAAGTTTCAAATGTGTTGAATGTAATATTTAACTGGATTTAAAGCTGAGGCTAAAAAAGGGTATGTATGCTTAGAACAAGAAAAATCAAGAAAATAAGGGTGTACGTTCCCTTTGAGCGAAATTGTTTATTTTATATTGTGTAAAAAATAGAGCTGACCAAAGATCCATATGGGATACATTTAATTGAAGGAGATGATGCAATGCTTAAAGAATTTCCATATAGATTAAAGCACATTATTTGTCTGTTTCACAGCTTGCGGATATATATATTAAAAAGTTGGGCAGTCAGTTTCTCCAATGAGTTGCATTTAAGTGCCTTGCTCGAGGGCACCTCAAAGAGAGTGTTATAAACAGGGGTGCACATAAGTGGTACGCAGGTACGGAATTCTGGATATGTCTTTATATCCAACTATAAATATTAGCTAACAGAAAAATAAAATGTTCACCCTGTTTTAGGAATAAAATATTTTAAAAAATGAGGCTATGAACAATATATATAAGCAATATATATAACCACCCCCTCTGGAGGGAACTTTGAGATTTTAGCCTTTGCAGACCATTTAAGTGCACAAAAACCTAAATAACATACTACAGGAAAGGGAAACCCCAAAAAGCAGAATAGGGTTGCTTTAAATCATCTTAAATGCAGATTATGCATGTTCTCTTATCACTGGTTTGAAGACAGTGTTACTGAAGCAATACCAAATTCCCAAAATATAGACCAGTGATTCAAAAACAATAATGTTGCATGTAGAGACACATAGGATACATTTTTTTATTTCCTTACCTAGACCTTACGCAGTAGTACCCTATATAGTCTGGGGATTTGAACCCTCAACCCTCAGAACACAATGGCCTCTAGCTATAAAAACATGACAGCCTGGAGGAGCAGTAGGAAATGCCCCTGCATGTTTCTCTCACTCAATAACATAATCCACACAAACAGCTCTTCCCTGAAAAGAGGCTCGCAGGGCATCATCTCTGCACCCCTGCTAGGATACCTGCGTCTGGTCTCCAGGGCGAACCGTCCTCCCAACCGGATGGAGGCCTTAATACGCGACGGGGGTCTGTTCCGCATGCTCTCCCCTGCTCGCGCCTCAACAGCTCCGATCAACAAGGGGTCTGCTCAATATCTGAAAACCCCAGGAGTCTGTCAGGATGGAGTATGAGTCAGACTGGAGGAAACAACATGTTCACTCATAGTTTCATACATTTTATTTGAGGTCAACTTGATAAACATAAAGGTTTCATGTCTTGCACATTGCTCAGACAAAATGACGACGTGTAACTTTTATTAAAAAGTGAAATTATGGCATACAGTATGTGTCAAGATCTGTGTTATTTTGAAAAATGTTCACCCCCTGTATCATGTCTGTTTTGACTTCCTGTCTCTGTGTTGTCCCTGCTGGTTGATTACCTGATTCTGTTCACCTGGTGCCTTTGTGTTTAGCCCTCCCTTCCAGCTGTGTTCTGTCCTTGTTATTAGTCCTGCATGTTGTATGTCAATCGTGGAAATGTACTGTTTAATGTGTGTTACAGAGTTTTCTTACTTTTGTTTTGCCTTGCCCTGCTTTGCCTAACCTGGGATTTTATAAAGGCACACTCTTTTGTTGTTCAAACCTTGTGCATTTGGGTCCAACCTGCTCTGCCTCCAATCATGAAAGTATGTGCAGTAAATAAAAAATGATGTATGATTGAGTATAATTTTTAATTATTAAAAACCAGTAGCAAGTGCAGCATTACGTAACAACGTGCATGAGTGAGTGTGTAATACATGACAATTTATATAGCTAATAATAAACTGCTTTCATTATTGTATTTCAGAATCAACCACTGATGTGATTAAACGTAATCAGTTCAGAGTCAAAACAGTAATAAGCTTATTTGTTTAACATACTATTAAAATATAACAGAAGACTGAAAATGTTATATTGTACAATAAAGAAAAATGCCATAAAATGTATGATGATTAAAAAATAAGTCTTGACATACTTTGTGCAAGTATCTAGGAACACAGCATTTTCAAAAATATTTTTAAATCAAGTCGTTTCTGAGATACAGAATTTTCTTTTCAGTCTTTGTGCACATGGGACACATGTATTTTTTCCCAAAAAATAATGAAGTATTCATAGAAACAAGTACAAGTAGTTACATGTCCCAGATAGGAAATATGTTATGATTTAAAAAACGGATTTCGAAAATGTCTTTCTATTTATTCTTAGAGAAGTCAAGAGAACATCAATCCATCAAAGGAAATTCAAATTGCCAATTGTGGTCACAAATGTGCTTACACAATACAGTACTACGGAACAAGTATTAATGATCTGCGGAAGGAAACTATAGTTGTGTATTTATGGTAATCATTTTCCTCCCAATATGTACGTTTTGTATGCCCTCAATATCAGATAAACCATGATCCACTAATAACCCAAAAGCAAATTTAATCTTATATCACACTTTGGCATGTCAAGACACTTGTCCTACATCTGTATCCATGACGACCTCATGTTCACAGACCAACACAAAGTAGTACATTGCACTCATCTGCTGCGCTGCACAGCCTCTTGATGCCATGTGTGGCATTGGGACAAAAATGAGTCTTGATGTTCTGCTGTGGTTTTAATCAAATGCTTGCTGGGTGGAAGTCTCCCTTTTGTGTCATGGAGGCAGAGTGATGGTGATTGCAAACTGCTGCATGCCATCTCTGCTCCCTAGTAGGCCCTGATGGAACACTTATTCCATTTTCAAAGCAGAGACAATAGTTAGAAATGAGCTCTGAAGTGCTGGTTTGTTACTGCTGTAGATTCTGGTTGTGTGTTTGAAGGAAAACATACATTAACATATATTAACCCTTAGATGGTTTCTACATCATTGGGAAACAGTCATTGGAAAGGCTGTGTCCATGTGTAAAATGGGTGTAATAACAGTGTAATTTCTATTTAATATGGGTGTAATAACAATGTAACATGGGTATATTAAGTGTGTAATATGGTTCTAAAAGCTGTAATATGTGTGTGATATTGGTGTTACATGGGTGTAGTATTGGTCTAATAACAGTCTTATACTGTATGGTTGTAATAACAGTGTAACATGGTCGGAACATGGGTATAATAAGGGCATAATGCGGTTGTAATATTTGTGTAACATAGGTATAATAACAGAGCAATACGGGTGTAATAATGGTGTCTAGTCGTGTAATAGGGGTGTATTCATGTGTAATATGGGTGAAATTTTGAAAAAAGCAATACATTTCCCCAAATAGTTGTATGTGAATGCCCATTCGAGCGTCAAGCATTTTTTACATTTTATTATCCCCTCTGACATACAAGTGTTTAAACAACACTTTTTTTTCTTTAAATTATTTTATTTTCTGATATTGCTAGAGTCTGAGATCTTCCTTTTTGAAATACTAGAGCATGAAAACATTATTGTAAAAGAATCGTGTGGGATGGGATGCCTGGAATCGGACACAACCAAAATGGAGGAGGGGTTATTTTCATTCCAATAATAGCAATGTGATACTTTAAGAATGTTTCCAGCTGAGCCAAGGCTGTTAGAGCCAGCACATCCTGCAACACAGATCCTGAGGTTAAACCGGGTGTCAATGTTTTAAAGTACAATTTAGTCAAATACAGAATCAGAAACGTTTAACTTCATGCTGTCGATGTCTACCTTCAGTTCAGTTAATCAAATAAACAAAACTTAAACAAATCCTTCACTGCTTCAAACCAAGGTTTAGTTTGCCTACAATCATTGGATTGGACATTTTAGTTGACCAATAAGTTAAAACATCTGTAAAGATTTAGTTTTAAAAGGCTGTTGGGTGTTGTTGTGTCTGCTTCCCATGGCAACCTTAGATGTGGAAATCCAGGTTCGTGAACATGTTGCTGTGTGTTACTTTTATGAGTCTAATTAGTGAAGCACATGCTCTCCCTCACACAAAGACACACACACTCACGTGAACGTACTGCCCTAGTAAAGGGAATTGAGTTGTTCCCTTATGTTGTGCCTTTGATTTATAAAGCTAGGCCGCTGAATCAAAATCAAAAAGTGCTCATTGGAAATACTCTTTGTTTTAACCTACACACAACATAAAAATTGCCTCAATTTCAAACAGCATTGGTATTGTAGAACCCGTTTGGGAGACAAAACACCTTGGTTTCAGGAAATATCATAGTTTGGGTTCTAAAAGGGAAGCTATTATAAAGTTACTATTACCCCTTTTTCCTCAAAAATCAGTACCATTCTATGTCGGAGCTATTGGTTTTTTGTTTAGAGTTCTAACCAGTTTACAGGGCCGAGAGCTAGCACGGCTGTGGCAGAAACACGAAAAACTAGTTCGCAATCTGCTACTGGCTACGAACAGGTATACATTTATATATGTGCTGTTAGTTAAGTACATAAGTTAAAGAGTAAGTTAAAAAAAGGAAACAAATGGCTGTGTCCTGGGTGGAAGCCATGCGTTTTTTTGACTCACTCTATCCCTATTACTATGTCTCCCTAGAGGCTGCCCTGCGAGTCCTCATGGCTTATAACAAATTACGGAGCATTACTTATTTGTAGATACTCAGTGAATGAGAAAAGTCTTTCCTGGTGAATGACGTCCAATATAAAAAACGTTTAACTGTTCTGTTCTCTACCAACTCCTGAGGGAAATATCTGACTCTAGCTGCTACATGCTCCAATATACCCACCAGCTTGTCTCTAACTGAGTCTGACAGAAAGTGTGCAGTGGGTTTAGAGCTTTCTCTCAGATTATAACTGCCTTATGGTGGCCGCAAACGACACTATAAGAGCTTTGAGAGTCAACGGAAAAGCCTGAACTATGACATGAAACTCACTTTAAACCTCCTTAAAGACGCATAGAACTGATTCAGGTGATGATTCTCTGTAGGTTCATCGTTATTAAGTGGCAACAATTACTTATACTAACTGTTTTGAAACCGCAAATGTATGGGAATTCCCGTAAAAAACACAACTCATTATATCAGTGATAGACATTTTAGTTTGAAAGGAAGAAACCATGACAGAAAGTATTTACACAATTAATTAGACAGGTCCAAAAACCTAAACGACCACTATCTGCAACTTAGACATATAGTGTATGGAACCTAAAAAAAGTCCAAAAAAAGTATGCACATTAACACTAATCCAGGCTTGATGTAGAACTACTCAGGAAAAGCTGTTAGTTTTGATAAGGAAATAAAATACCCATCAGGCAACATGCAGGTATTAAGTTTGATGTGTGCAGCACTTGTTTTTTAAAGCCAGTTAGAGATCACTGCTGTGATAGGAGTAAAATCTCGTGAGGGAATCCTGGCAACCCTGTTTGAGATCTCCCTATGTTTTTATTGCGATCATTATCACAAATATTGCCTTTGACAGAATCAATTTCCGTGTTTTGTCCTCTGCGGTGCCGTATCAGTTAAATGTTGCATTCTTCTCCGCGATTCCCACTTCACAGGTCCCTGCACGAAATAAAGCAGGAATGGAAACTGGAGCAGGAAATTGAAAAGAGGGGTCCTGTTGTGTTGTGGAGACTGCTGTGCCTACTGCTATTTCCTCTGAACATGCCAGTCTCGTACACTCACCAGATGCACGTGTGCCCCGTCTAATAATCCTCACAGTCCTTAAGGGGAAAATTCTAGTCAGACATGGAGAGCAATATTACTTGTAACACAGTCTCTGGTTTAAAGATAGATTCATTTTCATTGCTAGGGCACTGACATGGTGGTAGTGTGGCATTTGGCATTCTGGGTCCCCGTCTTGGCTCAGTCTTCATGCAGCCTGGTTGGCAGTAGAACTTTAAAGGACATGTGGCAGGATGGCACACAACAGCTGGTTTACAGCTTGCTGTGCCTCTGTGGCTTACAGCTGCCTACTTTACTGAGTGCCAATGCCAGTTTAGAGTGTCTACACATTATAACACTTAATTTTCCGAGGTGAAAAGAGACACATGAGTTGACACAGACAGACATGAGAACACAGGCTGGACACAAACAAAATGCTGTGAAAAATCTATTTTTCACTTTCAACAAATGAAAAATATCATTTAAACATTAAAAAGTTGTTTATAACGATGATGTGTGCATTTTGGCCCATCATTTTTGCAAATTATCAATGTTGTTAATATTGTAGCGACCCTGTATAAGGTGCTGTGTGGGTCACT